GGAGGAACATAATTGGCCATTGGGCTATAGTGAATGTCCCCGGCCAGAGAGGAGGGAATGTCACTATGTGTGCTGCCATCAGTCACTGAGGAGTCCTCCACTTCCATGCTGTTCTTGGGCTCTATAACACCATGCTCCTCCTTGCCTTCCTTCATAGTCTAAGAGACCATGTCTATCAGCTAGAGCCAGCACAACCAGAGCAGGATCGCTGTGACGTCATTTGGGACAATGTCAGATTCCATCGGGCTGCTCTGGTCCGTAACTGGTTCAATAATAACTCAAGGTTCTCTAATGTCTTTTTGTCAGCAGATTCTCCCTTTTTAAACCCCATAGAGGAGTTTTTTTCGACATGGCAGGACTCAGACCCCTACATTCGTGTTTACCTCCTTCAGGCTCTGGATGAGGCCCATTCAGACATCTCAGTTGCGGCCTGTCAGCCGTAGATGAGACATGCTAAGAGGTTTTTTCCTCGCTGCCTGCATAGGACTAATATTGCCTGTGATGTAGATGAGATTCTTTGGTCTGATCCATACCAGAGATGAGATACTGTGGCAGACTAAGTTTTTGATTTCTGTATTCACTTTTTCATTTATACTTCACTGTATATTGGATTTGAAGTTCTCTGTATGGTGGAGTACATTATTAAATAATTTAAAAAATGTACAAATACGAACATCGTGTGAAGCAGCATAAGCAACATGCTGGTTTTTACAGTAGTGTTTTGAATTGATCTCACCAGTGTGTAAGACTATGTTGTAGTGAATGTGTTTTTGAGGGCTTGTGTGTTATGTATGAAGACAAAGTTTGATATGAAGTTTGAGAGTGCATGGTTTTGAGGGGAGAGTTTGGTTTTGACCTGACCAGTGGAAGTTTCAGAAGTTTCAGAAGTTGAGTGAGCAGTTAAGGATTTCTATTTAGAGTTTTAGCAATTGAGAAAAACTGTAATAAGTTTATATGTGTTTATAGTGTGTGGGAGGGGTATTTTAAGGCTTAAACTATAAATAAATGTTTATTTATATGGTCTTTCTATACCATGGATTTTCACCTATCACTTTTAATGCATGTGGGAGGGGAATTTTTAGGCAAGTTTGGTTTGACCCTTAGACCTGCATCCCTCAGGGGCAGACCATGATTTACAACATGGTCAATTATTGTGGCTCTGATTTCATCAGTAACCATGGTTCTTCCTCTTCCTCTCTGTTGATGTCTTCTTGCTCTTCCTCTGCCTCTTGCTGCATCCATTTTTCACTAGCTAAAGCAAAATGCCAATGGAAAATGCCAATCCAAAGATGGCCCCTTTTGTACATATGGCAAATTGGCACTAACCACTCGAATTCCTAGATAGGTTCTTAGCTGATGTTACAGGCAGGTGTGTGTTTTCATTCAGCTTTCCAGCTTCAAGCATTGTAAAATACTTGGTGGTGATCTAGGGGGATGGTGGTGGTCTAGTAGTTAGGGATCTGGCTGGGCTCCCATTTGGAACACCGGATGATTGTGAGTTCACTCCCAGGGGATGCCACCATTGTGCCCCTGAGCAAGGCCCTTGACCCCAACGTGCTCCAGGGGGATTGTCCCTGTAGTCACAGTACTTCACTGTAAGTCGCTTTGGATAAAACTGCCTGCTAAATGAATAAATATAAATGTTTTACTGTAATATATGTGTTGCCATACCCACTGTTTTTGCACAGATTACATTGTGTTGCCTTTCAAAAAGGAAAGAGACACTCCATGGCCTCATTTGTATAGATGGTGTAGATGGTAACGAAGCAGCAAACAAAAACAGAATTACAAAATTCTGCTAAAAGCATAATTATTTGTGTTAGTGCAAGTGCATAGTGTCTTTTGTCTGTCAAAATGCAGCATGTTTCAATTGACAGTGCTCTAAATTTCATTAGGTTTTGACCTGAAAGTTAACTGTTTTG